AATTTCTTGGTTGACAGTCCCGGAAGCTATGAAAATGCTGCTTTTCAAGCCACAGGTACAGATGGCTTGCCAAACCAGATATTTCTTTGCGAACTTTGACAGCTTCATGTGCTTGAAAACATCTGCTACCTTTCCCCTTCCTTTTGCCGTATAAAACTCCTGTCCCGGAAGCTGCTTGTAGTCGGCTTTGAGATAGGTTTCGTCGTCCATTACCACGCAGTCAAACTTCGTCAGCATCGTCGTGTACAGCCTCCGGGATCGCGCTTTGGCCGTCGTATTTTGTTTATCATCGCGATTTGGAGTCACTACCTTCTTGTAAGTCGATAGTCCGGCTCGTTTTTTAGCTCGATGCACGGTTGTAGACGATACACCCAGCTTATTTGCGGCATCTCGGAGAGAGAGGTTAGGGTTTCGCTTGAAACTACCGGCAACTCTCTTTGTCGTCTCAGCGGCTTCCGGTTTTCGATTTCCCCCCGATCCAGACTTTCTGGCTGTCGACAAACGTTCCCCAAACACTTTAATTACATTTGTAACGGTTGATTTGGCAACTTTTAGCGATTTTGCCAACTTTGCGTGCGAGTAGCTCGGATTTTCGCGATGCGCGAGCAAAATTTTGATACGCTGCTCTTCTTGCTTGGACGGCATTTTGACAACTGAAGAGTGAATTCCAAAATCAAAATAGGAGCAACATTCTACACACACACCTTCAAAATGAGGGGTGTTCAGGTTTTTTAAATGCAAAATTGAAAGAAATACGTCAAGTTGATATTGACCAAATTTTCACCGTATCACCCTTTATGGAATATAACGTCGATCCAAACATTCCTTTGCAAACCAAAGATGAAATTAATTATGCTCTTGAATCTCTGACTACTTCTATAGTTGAAGCAAGAGCTGCCTCAGTACCAAAATGCGAGGATAAATTCGATTCAATTATAATAGACGACGATCTTCAGCTCTTGATCTGTCTTAAAAATGTCCGTAGGAGACAATATCAAAGAACACGCGATCCTGCCATGAAGGTTATCTGGCGGGATTTGCAAAAACAAATTAAAAAGCAATTCTCTGCCCTGAGGAACAAAACTTTTGAAAATAATATTTCTAAATTAGACCCGAGTTCCAAACCCTTTTGGAAACTCACAAAAATTTTGAAAAAACCTCAAAAGCCTATTCCAGCGCTTAAAGAAGGTGGTAAAATTTTGATCACAAATTTGGAAAAAGCTCAGAAACTTGCTAAGGAATTCGAGAGTTCCCATAATTTCAGTTTGGGTCTTACTAGTCCTATTAAGAATCAGGTTGCTCGGGATTTTCTGAATATTTTCTCTCGGGAAAATATGTTTGATGATTCCTGGGGGACTGATTTGGACGAAAGTTAAAAAGTTTCAAAATATGAAAGCTCCAGGTAATGATGGAATTTTCTATATCCTCACCAAAAAACTCGCAGAGAGTACCTTGTCTTTCTTGGTAAAATTATTTAACAGATCTTTCCATTTGGAATACTTTCCTGATAAATGGAAAAATGCAAAAGTTGTTCCAATTTTGAAGCCGGATAAAAATCCAGCTGAAGCTTCTAGCTACCGTCCAATAAGTTTGCTTTCTTCAATTAGTAAACTTTTTGAAAAAATAATTTTGAATAGAATGATGCTTCACATCAATACGAACTCAATTTTTGCAGATGAGCAGTTTGGATTTCGCCATGGGCATTCAACTACTCATCAACTCTTAAGAGTTACCAATTTAATTCGTTCAAACAAATCTGAAGGCCACTCAACTGGAGTTGCTTTTCTAGACATAGAAAAAGCATTCGACAGTGTTTGGCATGATGGTTTGATTGCCAAATTGTTTTTTTTTTAATTTTCCACTTTGCATTATGAAATTAGTTTAAAATAATTTACCTGACGGAACTCTGCAGGTAAATTATCAAAATTCCAAATCTGATCGACTACCTGTTAGAGCAGGAGTTCCTAAGGGTAGCATTCCTGGGCCTGTATTGTATAACATTTTCACTTCCGACTTACCTGATATGCATCAGGGTTACCACAAATCTTAGTTGGCTGATGACACAGGCATTTCCGCTGAAGGAAGAAGTCTTCATGTTATTTGCAGCAGACTGCAGAAAAGTATAGATATTTGCTCATCTTATTTACATGGAAGATTTTTCCCAAGGCTTCCAAATCTCAACTTATAATATTTCCACGTTAGCCTAGAGCTTCCTTTTTTAAACCAAGTAGAAGTCACATAGTCACTATGAACGGAGTTCCAATTTCCTGGTCAAACCAAGTGAAATATCTTGGATTAATACTTGACCAAAAATTAACTTTTAAAGATCACATTGAGGGCATTCAAGTCAAATGTAACAAATATATGAAATGCTTGTATCCTCTTATAAACAGGAAAACCAAAATTTGACCGGCGAATAAACTTCTAATATTTAAACAAGATTTTAGAGTGGACATGCTTCTTATACTTCTTCTTTCCTTTATTTAACGTCGGTCTCTGTTCCGCAATCTAGTGCCAATCACCGACGGACATCGATTGCCATCCATTGACGGCAATCGAATGTGCAGGAAGGCAGCTTCCACACCTGCATAGGATATTGCACCCATTCAACACACATGGGCCGGGACCAACGGCTTTCCTTCCCTTCCGAAGGAAGCCGTGACCAGAGCTGAAGAAGCTACAGCTTAGCGTATACAGGCAAAAATTAGCTGCATAAGCTAATCTGCAGCTAACATTGTTTGTTGGGTCCTTAGATTTCTCCTCAAAATAAGTTTTTCAAATTCTCCTTTTGAATTCTACGAATTTCTGTGAAGATCTCATGGTGTTGTTCTCAGATTTAATTGTAATCTTCCATTTAGCATACTCCCTCCCCCTAAGTGTTCCCCTAAAATGTCCAAATATTTATTCTCCGGATTAGTTTTGCCCACAAATTTCTTGACCACAGATTGCCCTTTGATTTTTCGTTTGGGACTCCCAGAAGTTCTTCACAGGATTATCGTGGAATAATCCTCAGAAATTTCAAAGAGGTTTCATCAAATACACTTGGAATCATTTCAGGATTTGCTAGAGGATCACGCTAATTTTAAAAACAGCTATATAAGCTAAATATGTTCACGCAAGATACTAAACCTTTAACAGTTAGGTCAAAAGCCCTTGGACTTTTGTCTTGCTGAATTCCCAGCCTGGACCACTGTGCATTGTTTTTTAGTATTTTCAATGCTATTTTGTCAACTAGCAGCCATGTTAGTGCTTTAAGAACATATTTGGTTTGATTGAGCTTATGTGCAATTGATGCATATGTACGAAAAGCGATAACTCCGGCATCCGGCGAGTCAACAAAGAAAAAGAGGAAGAAGAGCTGCAAAATGGAGCACATGCAATACGACAATGTAGTGATGCTCGTTAATAAAATACTCGGAGACACTGTCCGCATTGGTGTTATGGTTTTATAAGACGCAACTAGGAGCTCAAGATCATCATACAAAGATAATGGACGTCGAAATATCGTAAAACACATCAGAAATAGCATAGGAGACTTTCGAGAGACTAGTAGCGACTAGCAGTGATGCTGAGAAGGACCACGAGTTCACAAATAGGCACGAAAATTGAACAGAAGGGTGAAGAAACAACGAAAGTTGGTGAGATCGTTTTATTTTTTTTATTTTTATTATTGATCATATATACAAAACAATACTGGGATTGGGAGACACCATCAGGGCACCCAATTGAAGCGATTTGGATGGGGAGAATGAAATTATCAACTCCCTGTTGTTAACATCCCGTGGAAAAAGGGCAGGCTCTTCTCCACACTCACTGGGGTATCCTTCTGTCGGACGGCTCGTTTTTTGACTAATTGTATGATCATGTAGCTGGAAGCAGGTTCTGTACCATCCTGATACAATGACATGTTGAGGACAATCAGAGGTTTTTAAGCTTGATCAAATCAAACAGTGAGGAGCGCCCACTGCTGTCGGACTTAGTTTCCATGCTACAATGAGTGGTAGACAATTGACATACATCATACATGTAGGAAAATCGATAACACCTTTTGAAAGATCGAATCAGTCAAAGATCGAACATAAAAGATTGATTCACAAAAATCGTACCGACATCGCCCGTTACTAATCGGAAGTCAATGGCTCAGTGCGGAGAAGCGTATCGCGAGTTTGGGAAAAGTACCAATTGTGTTCATCCGAGTCACCCCTTTGTAAGCCAGTTCTGGTGACTGTAAGTCCGTGTTAAGAAATTGGCCGTGAACCTCCGAACATATGGCCCAATTGAGTGCTTCTGGTATTGGTCTAGACTCCGTGTGAATTGTGAATAGGTCCCCGGATATGTCACTACCCATCGAAGGCTATCAGATATCCACGACTGTCAAACTCTTGGGCGGTATTGTCCTGAATGTCCACACGGCAAACATGCACACGTTTTAAGGATCCACTACCTGGTACAACTGCTGCCCAGCAAAGTACCCCATCTCCGGCCTTGACGAAACTCATAGATAAGTACATTCCAAAACTGCAGCGGCCTGACGTAAGTCTTCTATTGTTGCAATCTCATCGTATCACCCGTCAAGCAGCTGTCGACCTTGTTGAAATCTCCGACAGCATCATGCATGTAAAGATTATCCTAGACTGTTACCATGAATGTAATTTTGAGAGTTGGACACCCAATCAAATCCCAAATCTAATCATACACGTAGGTGGTTGTTCGACAATAAAAATGCACTTCGGAGCGAGGGGTCTGCGTTATTCTTATCAGCGATGATTGTTCGTTGTAACTGATAGTGTACATAGCTTATCTGGCCCCTCGGTGTTCTCTGGTCTGCAGCCAAAATTTGAAGAATGTTCAGACTCCCGCCTATATAAACGCTGGTCCTTGCGTTCCAACAGTATCTTTCAGCTCACGTTCTCACCTGGAGGTAGTAAGCAGCCAAGCATCATCCAAAATGGTACCTCAACTTGATTGTTTCGAAAGGTACGATCGATTTGTAATCCATTGAATTTAATCTGTCCTACAGAAACTGCTCGCACTCTTGGTCATCCTGGGAGTTGGCTTTGCCAGCGCCAACCTGCGGTCGGAAGTCGACCAGCTGCTAGCATTCTACCCGATGGAGGAGGTCCGCGAGATCTACAACTGGTGGATCACCCACGATGCCGAAGTTGGAGAGATCAACGCCTTCATGCAGTCCGCCGAAGCCAACGAAGCCTGGAACGTTCTGATCGGACAACCGGAGCTGCAGGAAATCTCCCGTTGGGCTGAAGAGCGCGACGTCATGATGGCCGAGTACCTGAACTTCATTGCCGAACTGTTCGGCTGGACCCCGATCCCACGTGCCGTCCGCACCAGCAAGGCTGCTCGCTCCTGGGCTTCCATGATGGAGGAAATTCGCGCCGTCACCGACCACGATGGTGCCCTCGCCCTGGCCAACCAGCTCATCGCCACCCCCGGAAGCGAATTCGCCGAGCTGTACAGCATGACTCAGGATGCCCGCCCGGCCTTCACCCGCATCATTGAGGATCCAGCTATGCTGCGATGGTCCGCCCAGCTGCGTGCCTTCGGTGTCGATGTCGATGGTACCATTGCCCGACTCCAAGCCTTCTTCCAGTGGAACTAAATTTTGCCGCTGGTTTAATAAAATTTAACGTTTGATTGATGAAAAACTGAAGTTTGATTCGATGCATTTCTCAATGTTGATTGGAAGCTGACATGGGGAGGTTATTTTGAACGAAAATTTTCGAGAATTATTTACAAACAAACAAAACAGGAGCAAGCTGACCAGATCCAGGCCAAATAGGATAAAAAATAAAAAAAATGACTCGACATTCTCCGATTTGCATCATTGTGTGTTATGGTATACTGTCACTATTCGTATAACAGTATCATGTCGTGAGGTTTTCCTATCTACATGGGACAGTTATGCGAATAGTGGCAGTATACCAACGCCAAATAGCTACCAGGCGTATTAGAATGTTCCGCATTTTCCATAAAAATCATTGAAAATAGCTTGATTTTCAAAATGGCAGATCTACTAAATTTTCGAATCATTCATAGGCCCACATGCTAAAACGGCCTAACATATATTATTTTTTTCGATCCATTAGGTTCCATTGATAAGTCTAGTGACGTAGAAGGGTCGATGATTGAAAATGTTCGAATCAAAGCTAGGCCCTACTGCTTAAGGCAGAGCCGATGACTTGTTTTGCATGTATTTGACATTAAGAAAAGGTTTAGCAAAGGGCTTACCATTTTTGATGACCAGCACAATGGCTTAACTATTGAAAGATTCACAAAAAGGCTTATTAATTTTTATCGATTTTCATGTATTTTTGAAAACTTTTAGCATATTTTGCATGTTGTGTAATGGGATACAGTCAGTTCTGTGGGTGGTTGTGAGTAGTCGCAGTTAGTCGATGACTACTTAGTTCCAAACCGAAAAAAGTTTACAAAATAAGTAAAATACAGCAATTCAATCCAACAACTGGCATCTCTTAAATACAACAACAACAACAACAACAACAACAACAACAACAACAACAACAACAACAACAACAACAACAACAACAACAACAACAACAACAACAACAACAACAACAACAACAACAACAACAACAACAACAACAACAACAACAACAACAACAACAACAACAACAACAACAACAACAACAACAACAACAACAACAACAACAACAACAACAACAACAACAACAACAACAACAACAACAACAACAACAACAACAACAACAACAACAACAACAACAACAACAACAACAACAACAACAACAACAACAACAACAACAACAACAACAACAACAACAACAACAACAACAACAACAACAACAACAACAACAACAACAACAACAACAACAACAACAACAACAACAACAACAACAACAACAACAACAACAACAACAACAACAACAACAACAACAACAACAACAACAACAACAACAACAACAACAACAACAACAACAACAACAACAACAACAACAACAACAACAACAACAACAACAACAACAACAACAACAACAACAACAACAACAACAACAACAACAACAACAACAACAACAACAACAACAACAACAACAACAACAACAACAACAACAACAACAACAACAACAACAACAACAACAACAACAACAACAACAACAACAACAACAACAACAACAACAACAACAACAACAACAACAACAACAACAACAACAACAACAACAACAACAACAACAACAACAACAACAACAACAACAACAACAACAACAACAACAACAACAACAACAACAACAACAACAACAACAACAACAACAACAACAACAACAACAACAACAACAACAACAACAACAACAACAACAACAACAACAACAACAACAACAACAACAACAACAACAACAACAACAACAACAACAACAACAACAACAACAACAACAACAACAACAACAACAACAACAACAACAACAACAACAACAACAACAACAACAACAACAACAACAACAACAACAACAACAACAACAACAACAACAACAACAACAACAACAACAACAACAACAACAACAACAACAACAACAACAACAACAACAACAACAACAACAACAACAACAACAACAACAACAACAACAACAACAACAACAACAACAACAACAACAACAACAACAACAACAACAACAACAACAACAACAACAACAACAACAACAACAACAACAACAACAGGACCACCATAAATTTGTGAAGAGTATTATTTGGACATTTGTCAAGGTCATCAGTTCTCGCAAGCAGCTAGCTATCAAGACTCAACCTGGTCTCTAAATGTTCACATTTTTTCCGTTCACTAGCGGTCCTACGTCAAGCTTCCATTCGTGCCCCTAGGCACAGACCCTTCTACTTTTTTTTAAATGGCTACCAAATGGTACACTAGTTGGGGGGAACATTAAAATTTAATTTGAATGAACATGTGTAGGGATTTTTTTTTTTCAAAATCGGCTAGCGCTCCGTATAAACGTTCAGGAAGAAATTAAAAAAAAATGAAATGGCTTGCGCCCCTAATAAACATAATACGGAAACAATGAATCAAAACTTATAAATTTGAAGTGGCTTTGGGCCCCTGATCGGTGAAAAAAGATAGACATTCTTTCACGGTTAGGTATACGACAGAAGTTTGGAATCATATAAAAAAGCGGAAGGTGTTCGAACGTATCGTGAACCGCAGATTGACGACTGAGTTGGAGTCGAATGGACGACTGGATAAGAGGCAGCACGCCTTTAGAGCTGGAAGAGGCGTCGACACATACTTGGCGGAGTTGGATAGGTCATTGCCAAATCGGGACGAACACTGTTTGATTGCATCGCTTGATTTGTCGAAAGCGTACGACACCACTTGGCGGTACGGTATCTTGCGTACTCTGCGTAAGTGGCAGATGGGTGGGCGCATGTTCAACGTACTGAACAGTTTCCTCACCGACAGATCTTTCCGGGTGAACGTGGAAGAACATTTATCGGATGAAATGCCATTGGAGAACGGAGTCCCCCAAGGATCAGTGTTGTCTGTCACGTTATTCCTTATAGCGATGCAGCCGATTTTCAGAGTGGTGCCGCATACTGTTGCCGTGCTTCTCTATGCGGACGATATTTTGCTGGTGGTACGGAGGAGTAAGAAGCGTCCTCTGTATAGAAATCTACAGGCTGCAGTGAAAGCTGTCGACAAATGGGCGAAAAGCGTCGGCTTCACAATTTCCGCGACAAAATCAAAAATTTTCTACGGCAGTCCCAACGCCCGTCGAGAACCCAGCAACGATATATTCATCGACCGTACAGCTGTACCGAGGACGAATCAACTGAAAGTTGTTGGCGTCAACCTTGACCGGTCGCTGTCCTTCAAACACCATTGCAAGGTAATCAAAAACACGTGCGACTCTAGACTGCGGATCTTGAAGATGATCGGGGCTAAACTTCCGCGAGGGCAACGCGATTCTCTGTTGGGTATCGGATCAGCAATCGTCACGTCGCGACTTATCTACGGTATCGGGCTCGTCAGTAGAGCGAAGGATTCGGTGGTGCAGACTCTTGCACCCATCTACAACCGGATGGTCCGGTTCGCCTCAGGGGCGTACGTCACCAGTCCGATTCCAGCGATTATGGCTGAAGCAGGCACTTTGCCATTCGATTTAATGATTATGCAAGCCATAATTCGTGCTGCAATTCGTTTGATGGAGAAGGATTCCAGGAATATCGATCTTCCAGTTGTGGAACGAGCGTCCGATCGCCTGGCGACAATTGATGTAGAGCTTCCAAACATCGCTGTACGAACACGTCTAGCCAACCGAGAGTGGTATGAACCCAAGCCGCATATTGTTTGTGATGTGAAACGGAAGGTGAAAGCTGGGGACCCCCCGAATACAGTGCGTCCCATCGTGCAGGAGTTGCTGGCTAACCGGTTTAGCCGTGCTACGGCTATTTATACGGATGGTTCTAAATGCGAGAACATAGTTGGAGCAGGTGTATTTAGTAGCAGCATTCAGCAAGCAATAGGTCTTCCGTCACAATGTAGCGTTTTTTCGGCGGAGGCCTTTGCAATCAAGTCGGCCGTCATCGCTGCAAGAACATCAACCGAATGTGTTATAATTCTGTCTGATTCGGCCAGCTGTCTTTCGGCCATAGAGAGTGGTAGATCGCAGCATCCGTGGATCCAGGAAATCGAGCGCTTACTACGTGGACGGCCGATCCACCTTTGTTGGATCCCTGGTCATGCCGGAATTCGCGGTAACGAAGAAGCAGACCGTCTAGCCAGTGAAGCACGAAACAGTCCACCAATCAACGTTGCCGTACCAAGAATTGATTCCATCAAGAACATGAACCAAGTCTTTCGTCAGCTATGGGAAGCACGTTGGGCACAATTGACAGATGTGAAGCTGAAGGAGGTCAAAAGGGAAACGAAGAAGTGGATCGATCAGTACAGCTCTGCCGATCAACGCATACTCACTCGTCTGCGCATTGGTCATACTAGGGTTACGCATGAATTTTTGCTGAAGAAAACAGCTCCGCCAGCATGTGAATGCTGTGGGACCGTTGTTGACGTTCGTCACATTATTCTGCACTGCAGAAAATTTGAAGCGGCCAGGACGAAATACGGAATCGATTCCACAAGCCTTTTTACGGCGTTACGCAACGACGATGATTATGAGAAGCGGTTGCTGAAGTTTCTGCATGAAACCAAACTTTATCGGAAGCTTTGAAGGGCGAAGATAGAATGGAAAGGAAAATGCAGGATATAGGAAGAAAACGAAGCGGAGGATGAAGAACAAGCAAGCGATGCAGAAGAAAAATGAAGTCTGAATGGAAGAAGATGTCGGACAGGAAATGGAAGAAGATGTAGTGGAAGAATGTTACCGATGAATGTTGGAAGCAAATGAGTTCATGAAGAAGATGCTGAATGGAAATCGAAGAAGATAAAGTGAAAAAGGATGAAGATGAAGCAGAAAACGAAAGTACTACAGAAGACATGAATGATTATGAAGATGCAGAAGAATGAAGATAAATATGAAGCGCAAGGAAGGAACGGAGAAATCGAAAAATAATGTGGAAAAGATATATGGAAGATCATGAAGAATGAAGATGGTGAATATATATATAGAAGAAGTAAAGAAGGAATTTATGGAGAAGAAGTGTAAACCAT